GAGGCACCTGTGGCTCAGTGAGTAGGGTGCCGGCCCCATATACCAACGGTGGTGGGTTCGAACCTGGCCTGGGCCAAACTGCAACAACAACAACAAGAAGTAAAGAAATAAAAGTCTTAAAAAAAAAAATAACTAGGGCAGCGCCTGTGGCTCAGTGAGTAAGGCGCCGGCACCATATACAGAGGGTGGCGGGTTCAAACCCGGTCCCCAGACAAATTACAACAACAGCAAAATAACCAGGTGTTGTGGTGGGTGCCTGTAGTCCCAGCTGCTCGGGAGGCTGAGGCAAGAGAATTGCCTGAGCCCAGGAGTTGGAGGTTGCTGTAAGCTGTGATGCCACCACACTCTACCAAAGGCGATAAAGTGAGACTGTCTCTTAAAAAAAAAAAAAAACCTAAAAAAAGCCGGGTGTTGTATTCCCAGCTAGGGTGAGGCAAGAGAATCGTTTAAGCCCAAGAGTTGGAGGTTGCTGGGAACTGTGACTCCACGCACTCTACCCAGGGCGATAAAGTGAGACTCTGTCTTTAAAAAAGAAAAAAAAGCGGGGTGGAGCTTGTGGCTCAAAAGGGTAGAGCGCCAGCCGCATATGTCAGAGGTGGTGGGTTCAAACCCAGCCCAGCCCCCCCCCCAAAATTTCCACAATTGTATTCCTCAACTGCAAAGGCAGGAAAAATACAATTATCAAACTTCCACTGTTAACGTCATTTATGAAGTTGACTACAGTTTGAAGAACATTTCAGGAGGTGCTGTGGGATAATACAGAAAGAATACAAAAAAGGGAAATGTTTCTGATAGAAGTAGTAAAAACTTTCAAATTATAAAATGTTACTATGCTTATATATTTTTTACAGTGAAATGTGTGTTATACAATAAAAAGGTTAAAGTTGTTTTTTTTTTTTGTTTGTTTGTTTGTTTTGCAGTTTTTGGGCAGGGCTGGGTTTGAACCTGCCACCTCTGGCATATGGGAACGGTGCCCTATTCCTTTGAGCCACAGGCACCACTCAAGGTTAAGTATTTGTTATTGATTAGAATAGTGTCTGTTAGAAACCTATGAGAAGTTCACAGACAGCTGTCATAGGTGACTCTTCCCACCCTGCTCAGGGAGGGGGAAAGCTTTCACCTAGAAACACCACTGAGTTTCATCAGGGACACCTTAATTATTTTAGCTGTTAAGAGTAATCTAACTAATCCCCCACGGGAGCATAGGGAGTAAAGACAGGAGTCATATTTTGGAAAACAATCCATTGGGAAATAGGTAGCCAAGGGTTTAATTTGGAAATGCAAATATCTACCGATTAAGTTTTCAGTTATGTGGACAATAAAGGGCAAGATTAAGTGGCGGCCAAAAAAAGGAAAAAAAAAGGAAAAAATATTAAAAAGGAAAGAACGCAGAGGGCACAAAGAAGGGGCTTATTTTCATACATTATATTAGTTTACGTTACTTGTATTGTATTTAAGTAAAGCGACTTTCTTCAACCAAATAATTTCACCAATTTTATACCATAAGATACCGGGAGGAAAAAAAAATCCCGTCTGGGCCATTTGATGTAGTCTTTCTGCGTCTCTTTGCGGAAGGAAAGTACCGTGAGGTAAGGACCGCTTGCAGCTTTCCTTGGTGTGTTCCTAGCAGGAATCAGGCAGCAACTTAACCAGAATCAGGTTTCCCCTTCTTTTGGGGGCTCGCTCTGCCACAGCCCCTATACCCGTTAGAATTTTCTAGTTTTGGGTTGGTTGAGGGCAAAAACCCGGAGGCTGGATTCGGAAGACTCGGTTTCCGGTGCCGCTTTGTAGCTTGTGACATTGAGTACATGTTTTTTAGCGCTTCGGTTTCATTATTTGGGAAATGGGAACAATATATCTGTTTTATAAGGGTGTTGTGAAGATGAAACGGGCCTGTGTGTGAAAAGCCCTTTATAAACTGTAAACCGCTCCCCAGATGTTAGTTATTATCTTCTTTAAAGGGCACAGAATTTGTTTCAATGGTGTAGGAGACTGCAAAAAGGCTCGTTGACACTTGTAGTCAGAACTTGACCCTGAGCTTAATCTCGCTGTAAAGCGAAAGGGTTCTTGCGCCCCACAGCAGCCTGGGGCAGGGTCACCCGCGCGGCCGGGGCGGTCACAGCCATATTCCATCCTGAGCCACAGCTCCCCCACAGTCCTCCCACCAGTCTCCCGGGAGAGCCGCGACGTTCCCCGCCAGTTGGGTGGCGCCAGCTAGAGGGCGTGGGCCGGGGAGGAACAGGGTCCAGCGGCCAGAGGGTGGGAAGGGGCGGGCCCGAGGGCGGGGCCTCCTTCGGGGGCGTGGTCTAGGCCCCCCAGCGTCTGGCGACCGGCGCGCAGAGCTTGTGAACCCGCGAGCTAGCAGAGAGCGATCGCGGCCACTGCGCACTAGTCCGCCGCCTGTGCGCGTCGCTGGCTGAGCTGCACTGTTCCCGCGGCTACCGAGCCGAGCCCCGGGAAGAAGCGATCCCCTGTTCTGTCCGCACGCACTCCCCTTCCCCACCGCAACAGGTCAGGGAAGGGCTGAGGAGACGAGGGCGCACGACCCAGGACTGGAGGAAGAAGATCTGGAAGGTAAGCGGATCCCTGTGCCCCCCGGATGGGGGTCGTCAGCCCGGCTTCTCCCGCGCAGCTGCGGACTTCTCGGAAGCGGAGGCTATCGCCGCCTCGCTGCGGGCTTCCCAGCAGGCTGACTCAAGTCCCTGGCGTCTCCACTTTTCCGGTGGGAACCTTCTGGGAGAATGGGTGAAAGGAGACGCCACCCCTACTTGCAATTCTGCGGCAGGTAGCGTCTAGGAAAACGGGGGACAGGGACACTGGTAGACACCCATTCTCCTCCCCCGCCCCCCTCAAGTCAAACATCTGCCCATGCGCCCCGCGTTTTGCGGAAAGATGTCCCGTTGTTGGAACCTGGTCCCCGAGTTGCGTAACAGAAGAGTCCCAGAAGTTTCTCAAGAGGTAAAAGCGAGGCTCTTCTCTCTACCTCGAGACCCCTCCCCCATGCTTCTAGGAGAGGCAGATGGGTGGTTCTAATCCCGTCAGGGGAGGTGGGGGGGGGCGGCGTGTGTCGGTGGTCTTCAGACTCCGGAGAGCGAGGGGGAAAGTTGGAGACACGTTCTGAGACTTGCTGCGAGGGCGAGGGAGAAGCGTATTCCCAACATGGTACTGGTTAATTTCTCCTGCTAGTATTTCTTTTTCTTCGGGTGTCTGATCCTCTGTTGCTCTGCAAGCCCTATGACGAGGCGAGGGTTGGAACCGACGAATTAGAGAAATTGGGAGTTGTATGAATCGTGCATTTTCTCTCTGTAAGTGATAGATACGTTCATAAAGCTTGCGAGGGGCCTGAGCGTCGTGATACTTTCCTGCAGCGTTTCTCTCTTCCCGGAGTTTCTCCTGCGCCTTCACCCCCAATCGTTATGCAAATTGTCCAGGAAGATCCTTGGTTTTGGAGGTGGAAATGTGTTGGGGGGAAAGACTTTGCTGCCAGTGATTTGTTTTGTTTGAAGGGTGGAGTGGGGGTAATTTTAACCCTGTTGTTGCACGTTGGGGGGAACGTGATATTTAAAACCTTCGATGCGAAACCGTGAATCAAAACGAAGACCCAGTGTTCCCTGGACAGTTGAAAAGCGAGCAAAGCTCAGTAACTGAGGCACAGAGACATTAAGCGGAGGTTTCTGAGAGGTGTGGGGGGATTTTGCTTGTGCAAGATTGTTTCATAGCAAAGTCAAGGAGAGTGTGTAGAAGGTACGTGGAGGTGGGGATATCTCTCTTAGACCTGCGTGGTGTCAGTCTCTAGTAGGGATGAAAGCACGAAAAAGAAAGACCTTTGGACTCTAGAGTATAGTTTTCTCTGAGGCTTGAGAATACCTTGGCAAGGCCCTGTTTCAATGTTTACTTCCTCTTGTCTAATGTATTTCCTTAGCTTGCCTTTCATCTTTAGTGGAAGGGATTTCATGAGTGGATATTCTGGAAATAGATTCACAGGAGAATTAAATTCTGGATGGTTTGCCTTTTTAAATTTAAAGGTGTCGTCTCTTGCCAGTGTCATAAAAAGTTGTATTTGAAGATAAATATGTAGAAAAGCCATGGCTAGAGCTAAAGGGTGATGATCCAAGGGAGTCTAGGAGGGAAGACAGGAGAACGGACAAGTAATATGGCAAACTAGGAAAACCCATTTGAATCCCACTATTTGGTTTTTGTTTTTTGTTTTTTTGAGACAAAGCCTCAAGCTATCCCCCTGGGTAGAGTGCTATGGCATCACAACTCACAGCAACCTCGAACTCCTGGGCTCAAGTGAGTCTCCTGCCTCAGCCTCCCAAGTAGCTGGGACCACAGGTGCTGCCACAACGCCTGCCTATTTTTTGGTTGCAGCTGTCATTGTTGTTTTGGTGGGACTGGGTTGGATTCAAACCCACCACTTTAGATGTACGTGGCTGGCGCCTTAGCCACTTGAGCCACAGCCACCAAGCCTGAATCCCACTATTTGTAAGGAAAAAAACGAACCAAGGAAAGAATTTGGGACAGACCTGGTGTCTTTGAGATAAGGAGGGATTGAAGAATGGGACTTGGGGGTAAAATGAGTTTAGATATGGGTACTGTTTTCTTTTTTCAGATATAACTTATCAGCATGATGAGGATAGGGATGTGGGACTTAAGGGATGTTGTGGTGAATTCTTTGCATTCCACCTGCAAGAAGAAAATGAATTGTTATATATTAAAATTAATATATCTTATTCACCTTAGCAATTGAATTTCTCTAGTTTTTGCATTTGTCACTTGCATAACTCCTGAACTTGCAAAAATACAATTTTGAAGGATCACAATGTGTTGAATTAGAATACAAAAGTCACACAGAGATCAAGAATTTATGGCAAAACGAAGTCCAGGTCATTTTAAACATTGCTCGCTCCTAGAAGACGCACAACATGCATGCATTTTTTTGCCAGCAGAAGTCACTGTTCCACTACCGGGTGTTAAGACTATATCCGAACCAGTGGCTATCTCTTCTGTTTCCTATATAGTTTAACTGAATTTTGCAGAGAGCTGATTGAGCTAAAAGTTACTCTATTTTATTTATTTATTTGTTTTTGAGATAGAGCCTCAAGCTGTCGCACTGGATAGAGTGCCATGGCATCACAGCTCACAGTAACCTCCAA